GTTTAATGACAGCACATTACATTATTACTGCTACTGAACTTTAGCTTTGGAATGTGAACTGGAATGTTACCAAAGTAATTCACACAGGAGCTGGAAGTAATCTGTTATATGTACATGTATATAGCAACATATACATATGTATATGTATAGATATGTGTGTGTGGTGTTGCACATGTGTATGAACATTACATAAAACCATTCAGGAATGTTGAATAACACAAATGGATCATTTACACAAAGAACACAACAGTAAGCAATATGAGTGTAGAGGCCAAGGATTTAATATAAGACTTTGTAATATGATATTAACTGTGATAACTGACATAATGTATTGTTTTAAAATACAATTCACTTGTTATTTTCATAAATGCTATTAAGAGGGTGTTTCAATTTTGACATTAACATATTTATCAAATAGGGAATTTTCTTGGAAGTGATAAGAGTAACAAAGAAACTCATACAACATATGAGAGAAAACAGTTTTATTCGGTGTTTTTCGTAAAGAATAGTACAAGATATTTTGATTGGATGGATTTGATTGACTTAGGAGTAGATGAAATTATTATTAGTATATGAAATTCACAGAGAGTAGCTTAGGTATCATAACAAATGTAAACTTAGTATACTTAGTGTTTTATTTGATTGTGATAGAATATTTTCAGTCATTCAGATTGAAATATTTTAACAAGTATGCAATTTTACTGAATATTTTCTTGACATTGTTTTTGTATATCATTTACTAATAACACTGGAAAATGCAAACTGTAATGTACCGGGGGGAGGCAGAAAGTGATACCCACATGGGAAAAGCTTTGTAAGTCACACGAAAACTAGTACTAAACTTTTGACTCAAAGAAGGTCCCTAGGGAAAGACAACATAAACCTTAATGGGTTCTAACAATAAGAAGTAAGGAATGGCATATCCTGATCCAAGTCTACTTGTGTAAAATAACTAGTCTACAGTCTTAAACTCCATCCTTCCTGATGTAACTCGGCTATATCCATATGATAACCAGATGGTAGGGAGAGACAATATAGAGTATGATAAAAATGGAAGTCTGTAGAAATGTCATTTGACCAAGGTGCTGAGTTGTGACCCCATCTTTTCAACCTACACACTTTGCTGAACTTTGGACCAAGTAGAATTCATTTTACAAGACATTTTCCATTTGGATTTTTGCTATTTCAGATTGAATTCTTGACCATTATCACTCTCTTTGTCTTCAACTAGCCATTGGTACTACCACCATGCAATAAGTATGCAATGAACAAAGGGTATTGTTGCGTCATCGAGATCATGTGATTCTCACGCTCTCTACTATCTAG